TGGAACGAGATGCTTGAGTCCGAAGCTGAAGAATAAAGTCACGTATAGGTTGGCTTCCACCACGTGTTAGTGAATGAAATTTGGCTCGCTCAGCGGCTTCGAGATTAGCCGGCTGTAGATGCTTCAGCAGCAAGGCTTTTAAGGATTCATACGACAACGATATAGGAACGTCAGGAAATGACAAATTCTTCAACAGTGAGTATACATCCTTTCCGATGACCGTTAGGAAATTATCCGTTTCGCGTTCTTCAATGAGTCCTTTCCGCGTAATACACCAAATCTCGAATCGTTCAACATAGTCTTCGACTTCGCGCTCACTGGTATGTAGATTGAAATTCTCCAAATTACAGGAATCCATTGCTTCAAAATGACCGCGGCGCCAATTGTTGTAGTTAGCACGCGGACAAGTAATTCGTATACGTATCGGAATCCGCACAGTAATGGTCCGACCCAGAACTGAGAGCTGTAATAAGCGGAAATTGGGAAGGTACACGGATATCGTGCTCAATAAAACAAAGGAGTTCATAGTTCATGAGCAATCACCACAGTTCGATAACATGTGTTGAGCATCGGTGACTGGTTCGGTTCATACTGTGAGACGAAAAAACAGTATTTTACGAGTTCTTTGTATCCGAGCCACTTCTGGGATTGATGTTATTCTTTACATAATTTCCAGAGCATGAAAAGTGGTAAGTCGTAGACTTTTTTCGATTCTTATATAAAAGACGTCGAATGCAATCTGGACTTTAATTTGGCAACATTAATCGTTTCGGCAGCGTGAAACTCTGTCTCTCTCTGATGTGCAGTACATTCCCGAATGACAATTGTGTACGAAAGTAAAACAGAAAACATTCATTGCTATTAGCAAATTAACCACACACTTACTGTTGGTGGCGAGAAAACTATGGGTAATATAAGGTTGGTGACGTTTTCAAATGGTGTTGTTCGTAGAAGTTGGTGTTCTCACGATTAACCCATGCCTATTCCGAGGCAGATTTTCTTTTCATTCTAAAACTCTGTTTATCTCGAAACTCCAATCGAGTGAGAAGGCATGTTGAGATTTTTGCCGTAATCTTGAAACAATGTGATGGTCCATTCACTCGGTCAGTATCATTCCAAAGCACAATACTTGTTGACAATTGTTATCAGTGTTGATAAATACTTTGCAATAATTGTATACTCTCTTCAATTATAATTAGAAACTCTCCAAAAATTTGGTGCCTAATCCAGTGTTGTTCACATGAGGAGAAACTTCAGCAAATTATATTGTTGTGTTCCAGGATAAACGACCATTTTTATCCATGGTCGTAACTTATTCGTTAAACTGCACAAATACATGGTTAACTTTTCCTGATTGTAATGATTTTTGTCATGAAAACAAAAAGGAAGAAGATCAAAGTCTGCAAAGGCTATGCAAAATCGAGGGAAGATTCCTTTTTCATACGGACAGAATCAGAATGTGTGAGTGTAATTGCTCATGTTGTGTATATCTTCATCATCTAATATATGCTCACGTGGCGAATAGCTTGTTTTGCCACTTTGAAATGAAGCTGATTAAATACACTTTCGATCTAAATAGATCATCCGTACACGCATGACTCGAAGTGACCCACACTGCTCGAATATATCTCACAAGCTTATGAAGTTTAACTCCTATTCTCCTGATAACATATTCAGTGTTATTTACTTGTGAAATGTTATTTGGTCCATCTGAAAGAAAAACAGTTTTCCAGATTAGACGGGCAATTGTGTCCACTTAAGTATGTCGAAATTCAATCTTGAGTTGACATTCTTCAATCCATAAACAACGCTAATCATCTTTCCAACTTTTATTCATGCCCTAAATCGTCGCTCGTCATTCTCGTTCGTGAATGATCCTTTTAGGAATGGCAAACGATTCAAACAATCCAACCAGAACGGGGATCTATTCGGTGAATTTTGTATAACTGAAATAAATCGAATTACTTGATAACGGTAGAGTTGGCAAAGTTTATGTCCACTTTTGTTTTTCCCAAACGGTGATAGCCGAGTCGTAGAGTGTGCAAGCACAACGACCCATGGGCTGAGTGATGCTATTCCCGTTGGTGTCTCTGCGCATCAACTTTCGCCCTTATCCATGTCCGTTCCAAACCCTCTCGAGTACGAGGTATTTCCTGATGTTGAAATTATGTGTTCCCTGTGTAAAATGAAAGATTTGGTGTGATAAAAATCTAACGCTTACATAATATATAGCTGCAGTTTAGGTGGGCTGGGTGCTTAACACGATGACTGAATGAATTTATGGATTCTCATGTATAGCCATCTGAGGATTTTACCATTAGTCACTCCTTTTGGTGTACTCATACCAATTTGTCTGGACTTTCCCTGGCGATGGGTTTCGTACTCTTCATTCTAATCGAGACGAACTTCATCACATAGTTCACCTTCTACTATATTATTGAACGTTTTTTAATGAGACAGAATGACGAGGTGTCTACCTCTGCATCGATGAAACTGTGTTCTCTCATCCGTCGCCGTACAGGCAGGCAACCACAAATCAGTAACTTTTACAGGTCACCTGATTATATAAATTAGAACAGTTACTCAATCACATTTCGCATGGTAACTGAGCTCGCCATCAGTGAAATCTCCTGATAGGTCATGGCAACTAACCGTGAACCCATGTTGTGAATACGCAGATTCTAAATTATTCAAACTGCTTTTGGGCCCCATTGGGTTTGCTAACACTGCGTGAAATGGAAGGCACTACCTCATTCATAGAAGCGCAATCGGAAGAATAGAACTCATGTAGACCTGGTGTTTAACCGGCTTCACAATATGAATATTTGCAACCGCTATTTACGTCGGAGTCGCAGAAAAAACTGTTTATAGATTTGCTGTTGCTTCAATTACACAGCCCTTGTTCATCCTGAAACAGTCAAAACGATGTAAAATTTCGCAATAAAATCTTGTTGTCTTGCACGCTCTTATCTGGTGATTCACCGTTTTCTAATCCTTTATGACCTCTTGAATTCCTACTTAACCAGGACACGAAAGTCAATACGGTGTTTATGGTCATTTCTCATCGCCATGTACATTAGCGAATTTCTAATCCAACTTCACTTTCATCGTTTCTCTTTGCACCTGAATAAAATCTTCGGCAGTATTGCGTACGCGAAATCGGTCAGGATAGTTTTCTCCCAACGCGCTCTCTGCCTCCGTCCTCTACCCCCGATGCGCCATTGATTTGGCCGTTAGCTTACCTTCGCCTCACCCGAAAACAGCTGGAGCGCACGGCGTGTAGGCGGACAGGGCGGAGAGATCGACCAGCCTTTCGCCAGATCGATAGATGGACTGACAGGACAACAACCAATCAGGAATCAGTGTTTATATCTGCCGTGGTCTATGCTGCAGTCAGGCGTGTGGTGATGCACGTTGCACCAAGTTTTGGCTGAGCTTTGGTTGGCTTTTGCGAGAGCGCACATCTGTGCAGTTTCTGCTCTGCGTGAGTCCAGTATCCAGTCTGCGTCCATAAATAAACGTCGGTTGGGTAGGTGGGACTGCAGTTATGCGAAGGAAGTTTTACGTGGTCCAATGATATCAATTAAAGCTGGTAAATGTTCATCCATGTAAAATCCACATAAAATTTTATTATTCCTTCAGGATCCTGATGACGCTTGCTTTTAGGACATGCGGTTAAAACAAGTGAAGAAAAGGACGGTTAGGAGAATCCCGCGTGCTGTGTAAATGGCTTTAGAACGAACAAAAGACTGACTGTGTGGTGTGGTCGCAATGGAATAGCGTATTTGATCATAAACGCGCGCGTCGAATGGAAATGTGCATCCACTGGGAGGAAACCGTAGTCATACTAAATCAGGATAGTTCGAATGTTGCGAACCACACACACAAATGGACAGAGCGGGTAGTTTTCGCGTCTCTCGAGTATCCTCCTATCTTTCTTTTCAGTGACAATATTTCATATCCCAGCCTGAGTTTGTCTTTCACTAAAGGGAGCGAAAACTGCGAGTTCGCTCCTTACAATCGATCTGTCGCGATTCACAAGCAATAAAATGTTAAAATGCGTGGTGTTTTATTGGTGCAGACGACTATTATATCTAAACAAATCGAGGCAAATAAAGGTGAATGTGCAGGTCATGTGTCGCATATTTCGGAATAAATATCCCTTATGGCCAAATAAAGGGGCGACTGGGTCAGTGGTTTCACACCCAACTGAAACAAATCATGCTGTGACTGTGACCGAGGCATTCCGCCACCTGCATAGGAATCGCGGTCAACTATTAGGGTAAGTTTGCTTCGTATGCTTGCCATAGCGGAACCGGTAGGAATTCGTCTGCACCACCTCTCACTGTGCTCAAAAATAATTTGTGCAGTTGCTTAAGATCCCCTGGCCCACACCATATGCCGTATAGTCCCTACGGTCGGATAATCTAACAAACAGTTATGTTATATGATAGGAATAGAGAATTTTATTTGATCAGATGATGAATTCGTGTAATTTAGGTGTGATGTTAAAAGTTGGGAAGCAATATGTCGTGTATATTCCAAATGAGAAACGGTCTGATCAGCCGCCCGGTGGCCGAGTGGGTAGTATCCTTGTGTTCTGCCTGTGCGGTCCCGGGTTCGATCCCCAGTTGGGTCGATGGATTCGCATTGCTGATGAGACCCAACCAGGTGGAAACAGCTGTCCAGTGCTTCCCAGATTTTTAGCTGACGCCTCATTTACACGACGACTTCATCATCTAAACAATTATGTGATCACTGAGAATCCGATATCGAAAGATGAAATTAGCTCCTAATGATTTATATTGTTACTTTTCACTATCCCCAAATAATTATTTTGGTAGTTGAGTACTGACATATATCTATATATAGCAATATTGATTGTGATTAAGAATCACTGAAAACGTGCTTGATCGCCACTCTCTGTTGCTCACACTTTGGTCGTCATACATGCTCATTGGTTCAGGACATTAGGGGTAAGTGGGGGGATTGCTGTGCCGAGTATGGTTTTAGCCATAGAAGATCGAGTGTTCTTACGAATTGTATTTGGAGGAATAAGGGGGATTATGTGGGCGGATTCCGATTGCTTCCGCTGTGACCAGAATCCGACTCCTAATCCTCGTAGATCGACAGC